CCGGGGCCAGCCATACTGAGGGCTGGACCTTTTCCTTATGATGGGGCTTCTGTAGCAGCTACAGGGGACTGGACGTGAGAGGCCTGCCCACCTGCATCTACACTCAGCACTATGTCTTTGGAAGGGCTGTGGTATCATCACAAGGCAACCAGTGAGGAGATTCTGCTTCGAGTGGAGACAGTGAACACAGGTGCTTGTTGTCTTGGGCAGGTTAGAAGGCAGTCTCACCGGCGTTCCTCAGAAGTGTGTCTTTGTGCCTCAGGATGGAGGGACCAAGGACCTAGCACAGGGGTCTTCCCTAGATGCTGACACTGAGTCTGTGCGGGACAGACAGCTAGAAGTTAGTCTTTGTCATGAGCTGAGCTGTGTTCATTCAGCTCAGAGGCACAGTCTTGGTGAGGTCTGATGTAGATTTCAGGTGTGAGACTTGAGAGAAGCTGAAACGCTCTACAGCCATTTTCACCTCCAAGTTCTGTGATGTCATCTCGCAGAACATACCAGTCAGAACTAAATAAAAATGACAGTAATACCTGCTGGTCAGAGGAGCTGCTGTTCATACCAGACATATGTGGGAGTACTGGGCATGGCCAGTCTTGCCTTCTTCCTTCTCCTTCCCACCCCTCGCCTGCCCCTTTTTCTTCCTCCCTGCCCCCCATACTCCTCCTTTGCAGTCTGTGCCCCTGGTGCTGGCCAGTCTCCCATTTGTAGCCCATGACAAGGAGACTCCTGGCAGCCTTGCTTGTAGCAGGGAGGACAGACATAGACCTGCCTTTGTGGTACTTGAGTCTAGCCATGTAATCTTCTCTTCCGAAAGAACAGTTGATCTGCTTCGTACCCAGTCTTACCAGGAGGCCTCCCAGGAAGCCTCTGCTCTTGTCCTCCATTCCTGGAGGCCCAAGGCCCCTTGTTGAGGTGGCCATTGCCTAGACTGCTGCCTAGGATCAGGTCTGTTTATTCTAGGGAAACTAAGGCCACTTCCAAAGAAGTTCTGGGCCTTGAACTCTCCCCAACTTCATCATTGCCATCCTGGGGTAGACTGGCTCACAGGTGGGAGAGGGTAGTGCTGCCATAGTACATGTGCCCTGTGTATAGGTGTATTCATGCATGCAACATGCATGCCTCTCTGCTCTGCCACCTTGAAATTGGTGTGTTCTGTGGGGCTGCCTTGTTGGTGTTCTGTGAGTAAGTTGCCCCCATCCCGGGCACCACAGAGATCCTGGTGTTGAGCAGGGATTCCTGTAATCAGCCAAGCACTGGGAGCCCAGGGCCTGGGAGGACTCAGAGCACGCCTATGAGATACTGTGTTCTACAAGAAGGGCTTCGTCTACCATGGACTTGCCATGTGACCATCAGGGGCCATGTGCCTGCCCGATGGCAGCACTCATCAGGGCTAGAACAGGTACTGACGACTTGAACTGAGCTGACTTGCTCATAGACACAGAAAGCCTATGTCTGTAGACTGGAGTGGCTTACTGCTCGGGGCCTTGGTCACTGTGAGTATGTGGTGCCAGTACTAGAGGCTCAGCTCCTGTCTGGGCTTGGAAGGGCCTAGGGAGTGCTTGACTCACAGGCCACACCACCCAGGGCTTACCTGTCAGGGGTCCTGTGGTTTATTAGTGAAAAATGAGGAAGATTCCTTGAAAGTAGGCCAAGTCCTCAGGTGCTGTCTGCAGCAGTCCAGCCACATTTTGCTCAGTGTTTGTCAGGGTTCCCCCTAGACAAGAGAGACCCTTCCAGAGCTGTGGCTGGCTAGACACTCTGCACATTTAGTAGCTCCCCTGGTGGCGGGCACCATGATGTGGTGCCAGGGTCTCCTGGCCACGTCTGTCCTCTGTGTGGATTGGCACTGTGCTCTGGTATTGATGCTGTTCTTGGCACAGCACAGTTGAAGCTGTGCTCCTGGGGCCACAGACGCTGTGTATTTTGCAGTGACAGCACCTATTACCATTTCAGGTCTGTGTTGTCTCCATGTGGTAGCCTTCCAAAGTCAGCAGAGTTAGCACTCCTCATTTCCCTGGGATGTGGAGTGGCAGGTGCCACATCTCCATTTGCATTCATATTTGTGTCTGGAGCCTGTGGCCTGGAACCCACCTGATGGACAGCACCTGTGATGCGCAGGGCAGATGGCAATGTCTAGCTTTATGCCCTCTGCACTCTGAGCTTCAGTGTCTGGGAACTGGTCTGAGGAAGTAGCTGCCAGGCTCCATCCAGAGCTCAGACGCCTGTGCAGCTGGCCGTTGAGGGTATCCTTTTTGGCTTTTCCCCGCTGTCTGGGCTCCTCAGAGGGTGTCTTGCCCCCAGCCTTGGTAGGAACTTGCCCTGGTTTCACTCAGACTGGTTTATTCTTGAGATGCCCTTCCCAAAACACTGCTTTGATGGGAGATGCCTACAAGAAGTTGACAATCATGTCGATTAATCCCCGTCTCATGGCAAGTGCCCCTGACACTCTCAGTGCTGTGCCAATCAGGGATAAGGATGGGATACAACAAGGTCAGGGTAGACTTTAATTCAAGGGAAGTCGTGAGTGGGAGTCCAATAGTCTCTCCAGACACCAGGGAATGTCCACCCTGCCTGTGACTAGAAAAGCAGTATCTTTCTTCTGAGTGTCTTCTGTAGAGCCTTCTGGCATAAGATCACAGGACCACAGTGGTGGGGGCACCTCTGGCCCTGCATGTGGCTGGTTGGCTTTGTCTCTCGTGGTCAGAAAGGAGATTATCCAGCCCTGAGTATGCTGCCAGTGGCCAGGGGAGGAAGGCAGATGTGGAGACACAGGTGCAGATTCCTCTTTAGGGGTACAGCCTTCCCACTGTCCTCTGGCCATGGCCACGTGCTGGGAAGGGCTGCTGAAGCTGGGGATTACCACCTGGAGGTACACTGCTGGACATCTGAGCTCCATTCCTCTGCTCATCTCCCAGATAAGCCTTGGATTGTTTGATGATGTCAAGAACTTTCTTCTTTGGGAAGGGGAGGCTAGAGCTCCTTCTCTGCATCCCTAAGGCCCTAGTGGGATTAGGGTCAGGCAGTGTCTGGAAGCTGTAGGCCTTACAGGCTTCTTGGAATTTGGATGAAAATTCTGGTGGAAGTGGGGCAGAAGGTGAACCATAATGAGCAGCCAGGGTGTTGCTGGGGACAGAAGAGGAGGGGTGGGAACTCAGCCTGTGGGAAACACAGCCTTTCGGGAAACGGACAGACAGCCAGTGCCTCTCTGGTCGCGTGGCTGCCTGGGTGCGCAGTGCTTGCCAGCTGGTCCTGCAACCAAGGAAGCAAGCGGCTCTGGGCTATGGCCAAGTATGTTCTGGGTGTGCAGGTGCAGTGCCAGGGACCCCCTAACCTCTCTGTTTTCTGTTTGTAGAAAGTCCATGAGATGCTGAAGAAGGGGTGGGATGCAGAAGGCTCTCCCTTCCGAGGCCAGCGATTCGACCCGGCCATGTTCAACATCTCCCCGGGGGCTGTGCAGTTTTAGTGACCGGAGGAGAGGACCCCTCGCCAGCGAGACAGTGGGGCCTCATCCTTGGCTATCCCTCGGCCCTGCATACTGGGAACTTGGGTGTCCCATTTGTCCCTAGCCATCCTCCTATGCAGGGTGGACCAGGCCCCACCCTGACCTCATCTCTCCAGACTGCTCCAGAGGCAGCGTGGGCCAGCTGCCATGTGGCCGCTGTGGCTGCACTGCCCTCGAGGAGGTGTTTGATGCAGGAAGGAGATGTCCCAGCACACTGGGGTCACATGCTTTTGTCTCCCAGCAACCACTGCTGCAGGCTATATTTCCTCCCTTTCCTCCTGTCCACTTGCTGTTGTTTTGATGCTATTTTGCTTGCTTTCCTCTGGTTGGGGTGGGTGGGAGCATGGTTGTGGCCTGCAGACAGATGAGGGCTGGGTAGCTCTTCCTGGATAAGCCCCTTCTCCTCAGCCTCTCACTGGGTGCCGTCACAATGCAGTCTGGCCCACTCCTTGCAGAGTGTTTGGCCTGCCTCAGCTTCCTAGTCTAACCTCCAGAAACCAGGTCCTATTAGCATGTCTGGTTGTGGGGAGAGTCTGGTTCTGGCCCAGGCCTGGGTGCGGCGAGGATCCATTGTCATCTGACCAGTTTGCCTTGCTTCGGCTGTTATGGAAGGGAATCCAGTCTGGCTAACATCACACAGCACTCTCCTGAGGCCTCCACTCCAGGGACATTGGATCAAAGTGCAGCAGGAGTAGACAGCCTGGCTCCCAGGTGGCCCCACGCGTATCTGACAGTCCATTGACAGAGCACACCAGCACAGGTCCTGGGCACTCCTGACTTGAGGGGCCTTTGGGAGGAGAAATGTGCACAGGGCATGAAGTTACACCATCCCATCATGACAGCTCAGCAATGAAGACGCCCATCCTTGTGCCAGGCACTGGACGGCTCTCCCTGGAGCTCATGGACTTGTTCCACCTGCTCTCCAGGGACTAGCTACTTCCTCAGTACCACTGAGCTCATGCCTTGTACCGTGGCTGCTGATGGACTCCAGCTGAGGTGCGAAGATGCAGTCATGGTGCAGGGCCTGGGTCCCGTGCTCTGAGTACTTGCTGAGGCCTTCTGTGGCTGTCAAGCCTCATTGCACAAGAAAGCTGTGCCGTAGGTCTCTGCTCCCAGGCACCACTTATGCCACTGAGGATCCAGACCCACGGATGCAAAGGGAGCCCACTCAGGAAAGAACCTGGCCCTGCATATATCTTCTGTGAACACATTAAGGGGGGGTTCCAACTTCAGCTGTGTAGACAGCTGACTTGTAACAGTCGCATGGGCAGATTTCTGGTGGGCAGTGGTGTCTGGTGGATCTTGCAAGAAAGCATCCCTGGGAGGTGCTCAAAAGGTCCAGGCTCTGATTCTCACAGAAGAGCAAAGAGCCCAGTACCTCTCTGGAATGTGAGAGTCCTCTTGGCCAATGTTTATTACCAAGCTGGAGAGCAGAATTCTATCACTGCAAGGGGTTCTGAGGAAACTTTTGGTTGTTTCCTGGAGTTACTGCTAAGGCCTAGGACTTGTACACTGCTGTTCCCTGTGTGCTCCCCATCTAACAAAGGCCTTGTGCCGTGTGTGTGTGTGTGTGTGTGTGTGTGTGTGCGCGCGCGCGCGCGCGTGCATGTGTGTATACATGCCCTCTGTGTAGTTCCTGAGTGGTTTTCTCAGGCCCACTCCTTCCCCACGGCCAGTCTTCCAGGAGTGATGAAGTGGACTGTGATGCTGATACCCCATTATTTGGGAGGCTTCAAATTGACCACTCCCATGATGACTTGTCTTCCTATTGTCCAGTTTTATTTTTCATGTTGCATTTCTTCCCACTCCAATTTCAACAAATGACAGACCAGCGTCTAGGAAGAGTGGTGGAGGGGTGGTGGTGAACAGTGGCCACCTGGCAGGGGTAAGCACTGTGTCCGTCCCCGTGCCATGTGGGGCATGTGCCATCCTGGCTGCCGACTGATTCTCTGCCCTGAGGCACCATCATAGACTGGCAGCCTCTGCAGCTGGCATACTCTGCCTTTTCTCTTTTTAGACACGACAACTGCAATTTGGCCACTAGGCCCCAGCAGCTGAGGTTCGAGGAAAGCAGGGTGATTTGTCCCCCTTGTCCAGGGACCCAAGAGAGTGGGTGTCCACCTGCAAAGCTGCTCCTGCTCCTCGGTGTTGGTTTACAATAAATCTGTACTTAAGCAGTTCTGGGTCTGCGTGTGACGTTCACTGCTGGATCTACTGTGGTCACCACTGTGACTGCTAGCTGGGAGGTCCCCAGCCATGCTGTGGCAAACCCACAGCAAGAGCTTTCCAAGGTGTTTCCCATCAGCCCAATTGCAATGGGCAGGATTTCACTCAGCTTTCAGAAATCTAAGAAGCTTTTGGTCAGGGAATGAAATGCAGCTATAGTTCCCACATCTTTCCAAATGGGGTCTAGAATTCAGTTGCTGCCTGGGATCTCCAATTAAGTGTAAAATCTGAAATGAACTCACTAGAGGGCAGTGGGCACACACCAAGTTTTGGGCCCTCAGTGTCCAGGGCATGCTGCCCCAAGAGCCATCAGTGGACTTGGGCAGAAAGCCCGGGCCTTCTGGCAGGGACACCATGGTTAACTATCCCAGAATGAGAAGAGGGTTAATGCTCCCTCCTGGGCTCACACTAATGCAGTCTGGTTGACCTAGCTTGTTGGTTTTAGTCCTCCAGATTGATGATTGAACAGGCTGGCTCTCTGTGTGTTGGTGCCTGGTGGGGCTGAGATCTGTCCCCCATCTCTCAGCTGGCAGCCTAAGGCCTTTGGGGAGAGCCTTGTGAAGGGAACACAGGCCACCCCTTAGTGGGCAGCTGTCACCAACCTGTCATGGCCACCTGGGCCCCCTCTCTCTTGCAGCACCACCTGTCCTCAGCCACTCCTTTTTGCTGGGGTGGATGAGGGGGGAGGTCAGTGGGGCAGGGACTGAGTTCAGCTGGCCCATCTGACAGGACCCCTGTGAGGTTGTCCACAGGGATTACTGTATACACCCTGCTTGGAGACGCAGGCACATGTGGGAGCCTGTGGGCACTTGGGGATGGGCTCACTGCTAAGCAGGGCCATGACCATTCTCCTTGGGGAAAGGTGGGTGAGGAGGTCCTTGCAGGACACGTGCATGGACCTACGTCAGCCCCAGCCAGCCCAGCCTCCCTAATGCTTCACAGTCATAGGCTTTTTTTTTTTTTTCCTGGACCTGGATGGGCCCTCAGGGACTTTGCAGTCCAACCTGTCTGTTCTATGGTCATTGAAGAAAGTGACTTCCCTCAGGCCATGTGGCTGATGGCTGGGGAGCCAGCCCAGGACTCCGACCTGTGCCCTCTACAGGGTCCCTAGTTGCCCATTGGCTTGCTTCGTGGACAGCTGCCTCAGACTTATGGCCTCTCCTGGCTGAGCTTGACCACCTTTGTCTCCCTGGAATGAAAGAGCAAAGCCAGCTGCCCCGGTATAGTCCTGGATGCAGCTGCTCTGCAGCATACGGCTACAACAAGCCTGGGCTGAGATCAGGCACTCCACCTCAGCTCATCATGGTCACCGCTGTTCCACAGCACAGGCCTGGCATGGGGCCAGTGTTCTGTGTTGGGTGGGAAGGGGAAGGAGGCTCTCCAGCATCCTGTGCCCACCAAAACCCCTAACTAACCTCTCAGCACCAGGGTGAAGCTCAGGCTCCCAGCCATTGCCATGGGCACCTCCCACCAGCCTGTGCGGCTCACCCTCACAAGGTGTGCCTGGCCCTTCAGGAAGAGGCAGGCTGGCTGACACAGGTAAGCCTGGGAGAGGCTGTGGTCCCTGCCAGCCTTCAGGAGCAGGTTCCAGCAGCAGTGACTACTACTGGTCTCACACAGGGACACTTGGGTACAATGTGGGGAGGCCATCCAGAAGAAGGGCTCAAATACTTTGTGGGGCTACAGAGGGTATGCGGAGTGGGGAGAGTGGGTGAGGCCTGTCCCACTAGAGGAAGTGTACAGCAAGCTACATGGATATGTCACAGTGCATTTAACTGTCCACCCATCAAAGAACATTTGGTTAGTTTCCAGCATTTGTCTGTCCCAGCCCCTCACCCACTAGTGGCCAAGTGTATGATCCGCTTGTCCTCACGTGGCCTGAGCCAGCCAGGTGGGGAGGCCCAGACACCGTGACTGCTGTGTCCTAGGAAAGGCCCAGAGCAGAGGCACCTGGTGAAGAGAACTGAGTCTGCCTCTGGGGCTGCCTATTCTCCATCTCAGACCCTTGTCCAGTTTCACCCCCTGTGCTATAGCCATCCCAGCTTTGTACCCGCTGTCTCTGCCTCCCTGTGCCACATAGCATCTGCTACTGGGGACACCTAAGCACAGGCACCTGAGGGCCCTGGCAGGTATAGACAGCCCACTGGCCTTGTAGAGGGCCCTGGGTCCTGCCACCCTCCAAGGGGTTGGCAGCCGTGGCTGGCCTGACTTTCCTGGTGGAAGGCTTTGTGTGGTAGGAAGCTCTGGCACTCCTAAACTGTTCCCCAGCCTCCTCAGAGATGGCGCTGCAGTGGCAAGAGCCACACCTGGAGCTTTTGTTATCCTCGAAAACATCTGGTCTCATCAGCCGCACCAAGAAGACAAATGACATCATCAAGGGGCAGAAGCAATTTTGTCTTTTAGGAGAACCACTTACACTCGCAGGGATGTCTTTGTCATTAGTCCCTCCATACACGTCTTCCCAGCCGTCCTCAGGACTCTAGTACACCTGGCAACAGGTACTTTTCTGCTTTGTGAGGGGACTCTCTTGCTGTGTGTCCCTTTGCTTGCCTGCATCCCCAGTGTGGTGTCTCCAGAGCCCAGTTTCCCTAAGTCTCCTCTTCCTCCCTGGGTCCACTTGAAGCCCTGGTATATCCATGCCACTGGGAAGACCTGCACTCCTGTAGGCACCTCACAGTGAGCACCACCCCACCCCTGGGAGGCAGAGCTCTGAGTGCTGGTCACTTGGGGTCAGGACTCTGGAGATGCCTCATAAGTAGCAGGGGTGAGGGCTGGATAGGCCACCAGGTTCAAGTGGACTAACAGGATGCTGTTTGCAAAATACACTTAGCGGCTTTAAAAAGATGGCTTACATTGACTATTTGGGAAGCTGCACTCAGGAAAGAAGTTCAGATCCAGAGGCGGCCTTTGTGGCCTGTCTAGTGGCACAGATTTCAGAAGTCACTGGGGAGGGTACAGTGGGTGACAGTGAACAGACTTGCCTGCAGTGCTGGCAGTTCTAGGTGGAAGCCTAGTAGAAGTTAAGTTGAAAATTTTTCCTAGGCCAGCTCTGTGGCCTGGTGATCAAAGTGGCTAGACCCCATATAGCTGACCGAGCAGTTCAGGTCCTGAATCTGGTGACTCAAGAAGCATACTGGGCATGTGTGCATGTGTGCCCAAAACCCTAAAGGAGAATGGAGTGTGGATTGCAGTGTGACTGTCTCCTGGGGGGGGGATGCTTTTGTGCTCTATGACAAGCACGTGCACCCTCTTAACAAAAAAAAAAAAAGCACTGGCCCCCTCTTAAAAAAAAAAAAAAAAAAAAAAAAAAAAAGGAAGAAATATTTTCCTGGTAGAGTTCTTTGTCAAACTGATATTACAGAGCCCTCACCATAGTCCACACTGCAAGTTGCAAATGCTCATGCCTCTAGGACCCCCTTGAGGCTCAATGGTCCCTGCCCAGGACCCCTACATTCCTGTCTTCTGCATCCCAGCTGTGGACAGATGTGGGATAGGGCTGGAGGGTGGGCACGTGGGACAGGATCTGCCCCTGCTTCCAGGCTGGAGTCCAAACCCCCCAGAAAGGCCACCTTTCCTGTGCCTGGGGCCTATTATTGGAGGGCTGGAGACCTGTTTCCCAGCTGTGCCTGTGACATTACCTACTGATATGGTTTGTAGGTGAGTGTCCATTCATCACCTGCTGGGCAACTGAATGGGCAGCCATAGTTCTTCCTCATAGGGCTTCGGGTCAGGATGGTTCAACTCTCCCGCCTTACTTGTGCCCAGCTTGCCTGGAGAGCACAGGCCACTCACCCAGCCTTTCCACAGTACTGCCTGTGAACCCTGCAAACCTGAGTCAGGCTGGGCCTGGGGCCTGAGGGAGAACCCAACAGGCTCAGCAATGTGGACAGGTCCTGCTGGGAGAAGCTCCACCTCTCCTGGCTTTTATCCTGGAGATGGCAACAGGACTAGGGCCAAGGGGATGCCCTGCCTGGGGAGGGCCCGCTCTGCTCTGCCACTGGCTCTGCAAGAAGATAGATGAGATCCCCGCGTGTTTTCCCTGTGCCTGTCCCCACCCCTGCCCAAGAACCTTCAGGGAAGAGCACCCCAGCCAGAGCCTCAGAGCCCCCTTGTACGTCTTGCACATCCTGGGCAGGGTACTAGAAGCAGAGCACAGGGATCAACCACCTTTCTCAGTTTTATCAGAGTGGTGGTCATATGGCAGCTGCCACCAGAAAACTGAACAGAGGATAGTGGCTGCTGTTGGAGACCCCTGAATGGAAAGAGGGCATCTGCTGGGGACAGGAACCTAGAGGAGATGCCTGTGGGTGTTGGCCAGACCCAAGTCCTCTGAGATCTGACCACACATTAGGGCCCTACCTCAGCCTCAGGGCAGGAGGAGATCCTTGGCCAGCAGAGCCTTGATCATGGAATGGAGGACTGGGCCCAGTGGGCACCTAGGAAGCAGAGTGCAGCACAAGTAGGCTCCAGAGGAAGGAGAGACCAGGGACCAAGAACCGGGGATCTGGAGGCCAGCAGAGATGGGAGAGACAGAGAAATGGACACAGAGGGGAACAGGCAGGGGTACCCTCGGAGATAAATAGGAAGGACACACAAGTGGGTGCAGGAGGACCAGGGAAGACTTACCAGTGCTTGCTGTGTCCCTCCTGGTCCCTTTATACTGTTCTCAGAACAGATCTTGCTATTTGCTGAAGGGGAATTGGTATTTCCTAACGGGCCCCTAGTGCAGTGATGTGCTGACTCCAGGGATGTGGCCAGAGGCTGCCGTTATTGATCATGGAATGGAGGACTGGGCCCAGTGGGCACCTAGGAAGCAGAGTGCAGCACAAGTAGGCTCCAGAGGAAGGAGAGACCAGGGACCAAGAACCGGGGATCTGGAGGCCAGCAGAGATGGGAGAGACAGAGAAATGGACACAGAGGGGAACAGGCAGGGGTACCCTCGGAGATAAATAG